CACTCAACGCGTGCTCACATTTGGTACGCATGTTGTCACAGGCGTTTTACGTGAGGTCCCTACAGCTGGGTTTTTTCAAGTCCTCCCTCTTTTTTTTTTGAAAGTGAACTTTTTTGCGCGAGCAGCATCCTACGGGGATGCAACGAAAACGAGTAACACTCGTTAAACGCGTTTAACTAGTTTAAAGCGTTTAATCAGTGTTGCCACAGGTGGTTTGTGGTCATTTTACTCGTTTTTTAGGCGTTTTTTTACTCCTTCAACTCGTTATTTACTCGTTTTACTCGTTATTTACGCATTTTTTTCTCGTTCCACGAGGGTTTTACTCGTTCCACGCGGGTTTTACTCGTTCCAAGCGGTTTTTACTCGTTTCACACGTTCTCTACTCGTTTCACGCGTTTGCTACTCGTTTCACGCGTTCTCTACTCGTTTCACACATTCTCCACTCGTTTCACAAGTGGCCCACACGTTCGACGAGTGGGCAGGTCGTTAAACGAGTTTAATCAGTGTTTTACTAGTTAAACTAGTTAAACGCGTTTAACGAGTGTTACGCGTTTTCGTTGCATCCCCTACAGTGCTGAGTGCAATCACATCTTGAAGCCCACGCTCCGGGACGGATTTTGCACGAAGCGAGAGGTCATGAGCTTACAAGGCAAGCGGGAAAACTAATGCTCTTTGTTGTGTGACGTTTAAAAGATGGCAAAATGACTCGGAACCGGCGAGATCCTAGCGGCCCAATGAGGCCTCCTAGAGGGATGAGTGCTATCACATCTTGAAGCCCATGCTCTGGGACGCATTTTGAACGAAACGCGAGGTCACGAGCTTACAGAGCAAGCGAGAAAACGAGTCTTCTTTGTTGTGTGGCGTTGGCGCAACCCATTTCTAAGTCAAAACTCCGGTTAGCTTCGCACGGCGAAATTTGACTTTATTTTTTGAGCAGGGAAATTACAGACAAATATACATAATAAATTGAATTTAGGGGTATTCCGTTAATGATGGTGATAATTTATTTTTATTAAAAAGTCTTGGGTGTTCGGCCAACTCGTCACCAAATAGATTCGAGGTCGATGTCGTGGCCGTAGATCTGCTTGAGCTCGTCGCCAAAGAGGGC